TAAATTCTATTTTCAAAAATGTGGCTCTGTCGGAATCTGACTGATTTTAAAAGTTCGCTCACAAGGCAACATTAGTTAGAGAACTGTTCAAAACTACCTACCTAGGAGTACTGACAGGTATTTCGTCCCACTTTAGGTCTTTTCTCTTCAGCACTCACCTGTGACCCAATCTTCAAGCTGACCATTTTACCAATTTGCAACATCTGGTGCAACCGCAAAAAAGTCAGTGTCATCGAGACGTATTTGTCTTCATATCCAACTCCAGGAACAACACCATTAGTTACAAGTTGTTACTAGACTTTTAGGCAGCTTCATACAGCAGTTAGTCAATATTAGTCGATGGTTCACTAACCGAAGTCAATTTTTTCGATCCAACTGAAATCCTTAATTGTTTTTTATTCAACTTTGATTTTCAAGAGTTGTTTTGTAAGGATTTGGGTTGTTTTTTAGAGTTTGGCCTCGGATTAATATCAGTTAGAGAATCATTGAAAACCACCGCCACGGAGTACTGGGCAGCTAGCTGTCTTATCCTGCTCTGAAACCCGTAGGTAGTACACACCAAACGCTCGGGTTTGAACCCATGACCTGCCGGTTAACAAATCAAAGCAAGCACGTAGATTTATCTGACCGAAATATTCGGCCTATGTTGTCATGTCGCTTTGACAATGTTCTCAGGTTAACTTCAAGTAGTTTGGAAGTACTAGAAGCTGATATGCTAACAGATGCTGAAAAATCTTGGTTCAATCAATCAACTGGAAAATCAAAACTGAATTAATAAACAAATAATAATAATAACTGTCACCTTGTAACAACAGAAGACAAGGATCAGGGAACAGATTGTTTATCGCCTGATCACTGACAAATCTTGAACACCACTACACTGCACGGAAGCCTTGAAATCCTGCCCGAAGATCCATATGTCTCCATCAAAAACTGTAGGGCATAGGCTTTCCACTTGTCGGTAGGCAGTGACACCAAATGTAACAACAGAAGACAAGGGCCAGGAAACAGATTGTTTATTAAGGAAATCAACACATATTTATAGATTTTCATGGACATTATTATAGATTATTGTAAGCTAACAAACACAGTCTTCTGATTCGTGGTTTCTTGTTGAACGTTAATCTTTCATCTCTTTGTGGCTGTTTCTTGAATGTTAGGTCATCTGTGTGTTAACTGTATCTACCTACGCAAAGCCTTCTGTGATTGGTTGTTGAATCAGTCTTTGTTCTTGTTCTTTTCTCAATACCAATATTGAGGAGGTAAACATTGACGTAAATTACTGTCTATCAATTTGGCTAGCAACCAGCTCTCAGCACAACCTGTTGCATAAGAGGTGGCTGTCCTTACTTAAGTGGTCTAGTTGTACATGGGACGATATATGCACCCTGAATTCTACTGTTAATAATAAAGGCTTTATTCTGCACAATGTTTATATAATATATATAGAATTTTTTTTTGATTACAGCTTGATTCCACACTGTATTTTTGGTACAAGCATGGAATTTTCAGCATGGATATTGGTAACCCAAATTTTGTAGGCCGAGCATAGACATCAGGTGTGCGTCGGCAGGGGATCGAACCTCGGACCATGTGCATAGTCGGCGAGAGTCCTAACCACTGCACCACCGACGCACAGTGGTACGAATTCAGTGGAGTTTATTGCATGATATTTTTCCCTTCGAAAAATGCATGAGGTTTTGTGGAATGCCAATTACAAAAAGTACAGGAGTGTATTATGTGAACCAAGGATACCAATGAGGCACAGCAATCTCATGCATTGGGATAAGGAGCCATCGAGGACAATAATGCTTTTTCACCTCATGTTTAGTAGAAACTTGCGAATCAGTAGGCCCGAAAAAAATACAAGACAAACTCAGTGAAGAATATTTTCTTTATCGACGAAATCATCTCTCCAGAGTCTGGCTGTACAGTCGTATTTATATTTACCAAAATTGTATAGTAGTCTATAATTGAGTAATAGGGGGGTGAAATAATTGATATAATTCAAGATCACTTACAAAGTGAGGCCAAATGGTACAAAGGGGTTCAGATTCCGGTTGTTGTGTATGGCGGAGGTGCTGGCAATTCGTCAATACAACCCTGAGCTCTATTTACACAAAAAAAATGTTTGTCCAGTCTCTTATTCTACCCTGGTCTTAACCTCTTCACTAGACGTTTTAATTTTAACTTTCAATTTCACTTTTAGTTTGCTTTTAATTTAATAATTGATTTACTGTTATCACTCTCGTATGTTTCTTTTGTACATTTCCACACCCTCGGACAATGTGCATGATCGGCGAGAGTCCTAACCACTGTGCCACCGACGCACAACTTTTTATGTTTTAAAACAATTAGTTCCCTTTATGAATTTAGATAAAGCAATAAGAAGACGTAATTTGTCCGAATCGTGTAATGCTGTATTTGTGCACGCAACACATTTCGAACAATCTGATCACACACACACAGACTTGTCATAGGCGTGTGCATATATGAAATTAATAAAGAGTTAGGAGGTGAGAAAATGTACTACTTAGGTCAAGTTAGAAGGACATGTTCAAGGTCGAAATAACAATGAAGACCACTAAACCAAATAACAGAGGCAATAGTACGTCTACTCTGGCTGGTATCAAAACAAAGTTTACCAAGGAAGGTTTATTGTGTGATGACGAATTGTTTTTAATGAATGCATAAAGGTGGCTGAAACTTTCTCATTGCTAGGGATTCCACAAACTTTAGGATACGCTCCAAACACGTTTTATAGATAGGTTTAAAAGATGTGTTAACGTCAATTTTATGTCCTGTTTCCATAATATGTTTCGCAATCGAAGAGCTAGGTCTCTTGTTCTCACCACTAATGGGTTCTGAAGATTCCCTTTGTTTCTGGAGCCATTTAGGAATATGCTTTGAAGACAGCTCCTACTTGCAGAGACCGATGAGTCCTCCATATGTCTGTGTGTCCACACGTAAATTTAAATTGGTAAATACAATGGGATGTGACGTCATTTTTCGCATGTTCGATAGGTTTAGATAGATATATTGGCTTTACATTCTCTATTATTTACTTCTAAAGTCACTTCTAAGTAATTATATCAATTATGTCACCTCCTATCACTCAGTGATACACTACTATACATTTTTAGTAAATATAAATACGACTGAACGACCTCTGAACAGGATTTCGTCGATAGAGAAAATTTTCTTCACTGAAGTTGTATTCTCTTTTCTTCATGATTCAATGGGTATTTTTGCGGTGATTTGAATCAGTAGGCTATAAATGATTTTAAAATACTCGCCAGAGTAAGTAAACAGTACTACTAGATTCCTTATTTCAGTTGCCTTTAAACAAACTAAATACGCTGAATAATATGTATTATGTATTGATGGAGGTTTTCGGTTGCTCAAGTTTTAAGCAGGCCGCCATCAAGCTGCTAGTCACCATCTGCCAAACAAACTACTTCAAATCTAAACCCTTTTCTGTCTACTTAGCATCAACTAGAAAAAAGTGTATACAGAAGACTAGGCACTTAAAAAATTTAGCTTTTCATCTACTATAAAGACTTTCAAAATATCTAATTTAATGTGTCGAAACTCTGACACTGGAATGCCACAATATTTTTTTCCTTATTTGTGTTTTACTACTTATGAGTAGTTTAATAGAATTTAGTTATTTTATTCTATCGGCAAGAAACACTGTCTACGGTATTTTATATTTTTGATCGTATCATGTCAATTGATCAAAGAAGCTTGATTACAAACCTTATTATTGTATAGATTTCCGTCAACATACTATGATTTCTGCGTCTGCTTTGGCTTCGAACAAATATCCAGCTAAAGACAGAACACAACTGTACCAAAATCAGCCCCCTGAGCTGCAAATCTTCTCGATTATATTTAAAAGCTTTTGAGTATAAACAGACGTCAGCATTCTGACTACTCACTCTAGGAAAAGTTGAATGAGAGGAAATATCTTGAAATAGCCTTGGTTTGGTAGACTGTTATTGTGATTTAATCGGCTCATGATTGTGAAGGTGAAATGTCTCGGTCGCCAGCAGCTACGAGCACTGTATCAAATCAGCTAAGAGAGACCAAACTGCTAACCGCAACATCATATCTAAGGTAATTGCAACGGAATTATGGCACTTGATTTAGGTCTCATAACTCAGTTGGTAGAGACCAGCATTAGTAATTTGGAGGCCTTAACCGTGACGGACGTTTTCACGTAAATTTGTATATACAGTTGGAGTTAACATGAGAACGATATCTATCGATTTTTACATGTATCTGCGGAAGCAGCAACACTGGAAGGACAGAAAGAAGGGCATACCGACGATTTTCTGAACATGTGTCGAAAAGCTTATGTCTAAAGGGAATGCTTTAGACAGCGCCATCGTCAGGCATCTCCTTCACACGGGTCATGAAGCGGGCGTCAAAAAGTCGTTCAAAATTATTAATAGGCAAAAGCGCTCAATTCTCCTCAAGTTTGCTGTAGCCATTTCCATTAAGTGCCTGAAACGTGATTTATGCGTCCAGAGTGAAGCGGTTATCAGTCTTTCATTGCCCTGCCTGGTAACTGGATATTTTCATCTGTCTTTCATCTGAATGCGTAATGCTGAAAAGTTTCCATTGTGTGTGATCACCATTGTTCGCAATAGTGTTTAGTATTGCATGTATATGTGTATATTTTTAGTGTATGCGTATATTGATCGATTGGTTTTTGTTTAAAATAAACTCTGTGCAAGTATGTTGAAATTGTTTTTGTAGATACATTTAACAATGAATGTCTTTGGCCCGTAAGCAGCTGACGAGAAGGCGACGAAATAAAAGATGGTACCACTTTATTCTGCTGAAACTGTAGTTTTTGCTTTATTTTTTTTTTTTATTTACAGCTTGATTCCACACTGTTTTATGATTTTATAATTTTCACGCCTGTTTACGCCGGATAAACAGAAAAAAATGTTCACATTGATTTATTTAACCTGTTTCCTTGAAAATTTTAGTTAACTGAAGGCTATTCTGGATCTGATATACGTTTAGTGTGTAAAGAGGCAGCCATGCGTGTTGTACGAAAAATATTCGATATACTAGAAAATTGTGCCAGTGAAAGTAAGTGACAGTTAATGAAAACTGTTCATGCTTTTGTTTATTATTGTTATTATTATTATTATTAATTATCCCGTTACAGCATCCCTTAGGTTGACTTTTTATTTGAGCAGTGTATCTCTTAGTAGTTCATCATTTTGTCATTCTTTGCAGCGGTGAGACATGCCTTTAAAAAGTAGAAGGTATAGAGACCAGCTGTTTTTGAGTATAGGTATTTTCATTCTCTATCCTAAATTATTATTGATCTCTTGGGTTTCAAGTGGAATGTAGGGCTTCAACAATAATATGCCCCCATTTTAGCCTGTTTACTGAAGTCCTCTTCAGCCGGCTTCACGATCGCGCTCATTAGATGACATGATACCCACCCCGCCAATGTTACCCTCGAACCCGCATCTGAATCATTGTTTCCCAATTGGACTCAACACTAGGGTCCACCTGTCATGTGATGCCACTCAGCGTGTGTGTCCAATCTGTCTACATTCTTCCCGGTATACCTTCTTGGCAAATCTTTCATATTAGGGGGTTCAGAGTAGAAGGTTGAAACTACCATAGAAGGGCGACTTAGGACTCTGCTAGAACTGGCGAGGAATCATGCTTCTGTCGACGCCAAGTAAAATCCTGAGTCGTATCAACCTGGACGCACTGGAGACAGAACTCCGACCAGAACAAGCTGGATTCAGGAAAGTCAGGCAAATCATGTACTGACCAAATTGCAACTCTACGCATCATCATCGAACAAAGCATGGAATGGCGATCAAACCTCTATCTCAACTTTATAGACTTTGAGAAGGCCTTCGACAGCGTTGATCGTGAAGTAATTTGGAAATTACTCGAGTACTATGGCGTACCCCAAACATTCATCAACCTTATTCAACAGCTGTACGACAACGGAACATGTCAAGTGATCCACAACGGAAAACTCAGCAAGGCGTTTGGAGTAAACACAGGAGTCAGACAAGGGTGCTTACTATCACCAATGATATTCCTAATTGTGGTGGACTGGATCATGCGCCAGATAGTGGGAAACGAGAAGACAGGAATATCCTCGACCAACGTGAAGAACCTGGAAGACTTGGATTTCGCGGATGATTTATGTTTGATGTTACACAAAATTGAAGACCTACAAGCGAAAACCGACAAACTGGTCGAAGAAGCAGCAGACAGGACTCCAAGTGAACATAGACAAGACGGAGGTCATGAAAATAACCAACCAACAACAAACATCAACGAAATCCAGCGTCAATCACCATCAACGGGAGGGATTTGAAAGAGGTTACTTCATTCACTTATTTAGGAAGCATTGTCTCAACTACAGGAGGAGCGGACGAGGATGTCAAATCGAGAATCGGGAAGGCGAGAAACACATTCATCAACCTGAAACCAATCTGGAAATCTTCGTCACTCAGCCAGCATCAACAACAAAATCCAGTCGGATTTTCAATACAATACAGACGTCAAGTCAGTCAGCTCTTCTATATGAATCAGAAACTTGGCGGGCGGTCACAAATAATATTTCCATTAGCCTGTTGCAGACCTTTATCAACAACTGTCTTCGCTCTATAATGAAGATCAGATGGCCGGAACGAATCACCATCAAGAAAGTATGGAACAAACAAGCAAAACAAGAAGCAATCGCCCGACAACAGCAAATATGCAGGAGAAAGTGGAGATGGATTGGACACTCGCTGAGGAGACCGCTGGGTGACATCGCGCGTGCGTCAGGCCATTGCTGGAGTGGAACCAGGCTGTAAGGGAAGCGGCGAGTGGGACGTCAGTACAAGGGTGACATGTAGGAGATCGTGTGAAGAGGAGTTGAAACAGTATGAACGGACTAACATGGATGCAGGTGAAATGTACAGCAGAAGACAGAAGCAAATGGAGACGTGGAGTTAAAGCCCTATGTTCCAAGGGAGTAATAATAATATAATAAGAATAAGCTGGGTTCAGGAAAGACAAACCGCGTGCGGATCGAATTGTGACGCTTTGTATGACCATCGTCATTAACAGGCAGAGCACGGTATGATGGTTAAAACTTTACCTGTGCTTTATCAACTTTCAAAAAGACGTTCAACGGCATTGACTGCGAATAAGTCTCTGAAACTGCTTCAACAATACTGTGTGTAATAAACCTTGCCAAGCGATTTTATAACGTAAAACTCAGGGGACATTTTGGAGTGAAAACAGGAGTAATCCAAGGATGTCTACCATCACGGATGATATTAGTGATTGTGGTGGACCAGATTATGCGTCCAACTGTTGGAAAGCGAGACAATGGGAATCCGTTGGACCGATAAGCAGAATGTAGAATATATTGAGGCTCCCTACTATCTCCAATGATTTTCCTGATTGCGATAGATTGGATAATACGACAGACTGCGGCGAGAAACGAGGTGACAGGCATAAAATGCACCCACACAAAAAACTTGGAGGATCTGAACTTTCCCGATGATATATGTATGATTTCCCGAAAACTGAGAGATATGCAATTGATGAAAAGCAACAAGTTGGCACAAGAAGCATCCAGAGAAGATAGGAAGGTATTCAGGTGAACATGGAAAAAACGAATGTGATGATGATGATTCCTGGCCAACAGCAACAGCACCACCAACAACAGACAACAATCAGCCAGCACAAATGGCAGGAGTCTGATTAATGCAACCTCCTCTACCCACCTACCAACCTGGGAAGCATCGTTTCAACTACAGTCACACATATTGAGGACAAAGTTAAGTGGCATCACGTGGATGTTAGACGACTAATTAAGCATCCGAGGGTCCTTATGGAGGAAACTTCAGTCTATACGTAACAATCAATCGTTGAGCCAATTAGAGAGGATTGCTGAGGAGAAGATGAAATAGTGATGTGCTGTTGCACTTTTATGCTAAGTAGTTATGCGTTGAATGAATATTCAGTCCAGTCTCAACTACAGGCGGAACTGACAAGGATATCAAAGCCAGAATCGGAAAAGCAAGACAAGCTTTCATTACTCTCAAATCTGTGTGGAGGTCAACAGCACTCAGCATCAAAAATAAGATCCGGATTTTCAACTCCAATGTAAAGTCAGTGCTACTATACGGATCAGAGACTTGGCGAGTCATAAAGAGCATCTCAAACAAACTTCAAACCTTCATTAACAGCTGTCTCCGCTCAATACTCAAGATCTGATGGCCAGAAAAGATTAGCAACACGGATCTCTGGGAGCGAACCAATCAGGAACCGATTGTGAAACAAATAGGCAGAAAGAAATGGAGATGGATTGGCCATACGTTGAGGAAACCATCAAGTGACATCACTAGACAAGCCATCGCTCGTGTGGAACCCGAAAGGGAGGCGGTGAGTTGGTCGTCCAAGGGTGACTTGGAGGAGGTCATGCGAGGAGGAGATGAAAGCATGTGAACAGACCTGGAGCAGGGTGAAAAAACCGAAGGCAATGGAGGTGCTCAGCTGAAGCCCTATGTTCCTCTAGGAACTCAAGGATACAATAATAATAATAATATATGTAGAATAGTAGTGAAATCTATGGTTTATGCAAACGCAGATATATCTGCAAATTAGATTGAGTAAGGAACAGTACTTATTGTTTAAGTACAGAAACACAGTGAAATAATGAAAGTAACCTTGTTATCCATAAACAGTTTAATTATGATGGGTGGGTTTTCCAAATACTGTATACCTTACCTCTAACATTTTATGGAATTACATAAATTCGACTATTAATCCATTAGAAATATGAGAACACGAAGTTCAGCAAAGATGACGATCTTTTCGGTGATTTCATTTTCAAAAGCTGTACAATCGCATTTAAATACATAATTTTACATGGATACAATTACGATGTCGAATAAAAGGTGGCAATTATTTTCAACTATATATATGGCTTTTACGAGAGGCTGAGAAACACAATTAACACAGGATTAAAACGGATAACAAGTACGTAAAAAACGAGCATGGAAACAAAATTGAAATAATAATTTTTAGCTTGAGATGGGAGTTAAGAGGTGCGAATATAGATTACAAGAACCTTAGAAACACAAAAATTGCACAGGATTAAGATATAATTGTAAAGCAGTTAATTTTTTTAAATGAATTATAAGTGTGAACAGGAAAGCATGGAAGCAAACTTAAAATAACTGTTTTTATAGCTGAAAAAATGGGGTTAATCGAATGAAAACTGAGAGAGTAAGAATCAAACACACAGCGAACGAAAAAAAGATCAAAAAGAAAAAGGAGAACGAAAGAATAAAAAAACAGAAGCTAAGGGAACATACCGAACTAGGACCGTGGTAGTTGTAGAAGTTGGACTAATTTCTTTCGAACACACAGCCCCGGCTTCCCGAAGTCGGAAACATACTGATTTTGGTAGGTTTCTGTTGACTTTGTAAATTATCTTGAAAGAATCAGTTGAGATGTTGTGGGAGGCGTTGATCAGATGTTCAATAATGGCACTTCTGATTGAACCGGTGCCTCCTCTTTGCAGCCACTCTGGATAATGCTGTAACACGTTTTGAAACGAAACGCACTCAACGACCTATGTACCTAGCTCCGAACGAGCAGGTGAACCGGTTTATGCACACTGAATTGGTCATATGCGAGAGTTTGTCCATCGCGTTGTTTCATAGTATTGGACGGCTAGAGAATGTCACTCTTAGTGTTGCTGCAGGGAAGGTCTTCTTTAAACAGCTGGATATTCTCCTCTTCAGGATGTCGGCTACCAAATATCCCCTGAAATTCAGATTCAGATACAGCGTTTTCTTTGGTGAAAAAAGCGGGTCAAGAGGAGATTCCATTGCAATTCCGTCTTTCTATCTGTAGATATCGCCATCGAATTAATCCATTATCACCATTATTATTATTATTAATTGTTTCTTTCCATGTTTCTAAAACATTCTATTCCAGATCTTCCTCAAACGCACATCCATCTTGACCCGATTACAACAGATGATGTTAAAGCTGCCATAGCTTCAACAATGCCATCAGCTAGACAACTTGCTGATAAATATGTTGAATGGAAAGAACAATACGGTTCTACATAGTAAATAATACATATGAATATATACCTTCAAGTAGAGACTTTATTTATAATCTTTCTTGATATTCTTATCTTATCTCACAATCTCTACACACACACCTAAATTTTATTTCTCTTTTCCAATGTCTTTCATCATTATTTGCCTAATTTTCTTTCGCTGTTGTTGGTGTTGTTTATTTTTTATTTTGGATAAAAATTAATGATAATATGGACTAGTCTGCATTAATCTATTTTCGATTATTTAAACACCGCGGGTAAAGAAAAACGCGCGAAAGATGCATAGTAAAACAAACCGTTCAATATTCAATTTCAAACTATTGTATATACATATATATATATGTATGTATATGATGACTAATTAATTCATCTTATTTGTTTCGCATGTGTGTTCATTTGTTTCTTTGTTTGTTTGTCAGACAGTGGCAATTCAAAATTAATAGTAATGATAATAATCATAAAATAATGAAGTAATTGTAATAATAATTATTTTTTTTGTATTTACTTGAAATTAGGTGCAGATAAAGTGAATAAATGAATCAATAAATTTTTTGAGATTATTATTATTATTATTGTTTCCTTTAGTTCTTAGAAAAACATAGGGCTTCAGCCGCGCGTCTTCATTGCTTTTGGTTCTCTGCTAACGTTTTCACCTGTCTCCAAGTCTACCCACATGTTTTCATCTCCTCTTCGCATGGCCTCCTCCATGTCACCCTAGCACTGACGACCAACTCACCGCTTCCTGTAAGGATTACATAAGACAGAGAGCCTGGCATGTGATATCATTCACTTGGTGGTTTGTTTTCTCAGAGTATGGCCAATCCACCTCTACAGTTGGTTACTTGTTGGCTCGTTCATTGCCAAAGATTCCTGTCACTAATCTTTTGAGTGGTAGTGAACGAAGACAGTTGTTGATGAAGGTCTGTAGTTTGTTTGAGGTGCTCTTTATGAGGCGCCAAATCTCTGATCCGTATAGTGAGTAGCACTGGCTTCATATTCCAGAGTTGAAAATCCGGATCTTATTTTTCATGCTGTGTGCTGCTGACCTCCACACAGACTTCAGAGTAATGGAAGCTTGTCTTGCTTTCCCGATCCTTGCTTTGATATCCTCATCCGTTCCGTGTGACTGTAGTTGAAACGATGCTTCCCAGATAGGTGAAGGAGGTTGTTTCTTTCAGATTCCTCCCATTTATGTTCATTGTTGTCTTCTCTATGTTCATCTGAAGTCCTGTCTTCTCTTGATGCTTCTTCTGCCAACTTGTCGCTTTTCGCTTGCATATCTCCCCATTTGTTGGAAATCATATATATATATACCATAGGCTAAATCCATATCCTCCAAGTTTTTTGTGTGGGTCCATTTTATGCCTCTTTCCTTGCTGCCCGACCCGCTGTCTGTCGCATTTTCCAGTCTACCTTAATAAGGAAAATCATTAGTGATAGTAGGTAACCAGCCGTGTATTACTCCCGTCTTCACTTCGAAGGATTTGATGAGTTTCTCGTTGTCGATTATTTGGAAACTTTATGAGAATCAAGTGAATATGAAACTTGGTTTGTTTAAATCGTTTTTTTTCTGTTAATGAAAAGGGAAAAGTGATCTGCGGAATACGCCTGTCCATAACATAACATACTTCGATTGAACACTGCGAGGTAATCAATGACATACGTTTACTACTTCATTCGGTACAGACTGAATCTGGCCACTGAAGTCTGCGACTGAGTCACTCACTATGTTGAGGTGTTTTGCCATCATTATGGTTTGTAAATTGCTGTTAGATGATTGGAGGCTTTGACACTCGTCAGCAAGGCGTATGCGCAATCTTCAAAAAACCTACGTCTCTACTGAGATTCTCAGTTGGGTTACTCAATGGTGCATTCAGAAACTTTACACTACTAAGTTATTTAGGCTAGCGATTTTCCCCCTTAAGGATTGTATTGCATACTTTGATTGAACTAACTAACTAACCAGCTAGCGTATAGCACCGTGATGGAGACATCTAGAATGGTGGCCAAATTGAAACCTGGACTGAATCATCGACTCCGTCTTCTCTATGTTCACCGCTTGCAGTCCTGTCTTCGCTGCCTACGTCTTCAGCCAATTGGTTGGCTTCACCTGTAAGTCTTCGAGTTAATGTGACATTAGACATATATCATCTGCGAAACCTGAGTTTCATTAACGGTGGTCCATCGTATTACTGTCTCCTCGCTCCCCAAAGTCTGAAGCATAATCCAGTTCGCCAGAATTTAGAATATCATCGGTGATAAGAGGCAGCCTTGTCTTACTCTGTTCTTTATTATATTTATATTTTATATTTTTCTTTTTTCATCTTCCAGAGTGTCGGTCACAGATTTTTCCGACAGTAAACTTCAGAGTACCAGTGAGATTTCGTTTGTATGCAAGAGGAACAGACGACTAGAAATTGAAATTGACGAATCCATAAATGTTTTCCTGAAAATACCCAGCTTAAAACTGCCAACTAGCCTTCTTGTTAATCAGGACATCAAGAGGTGGTAAAGTATTGTCTTTCCCATGTGAACTCAATTCGTGAGTGGGCCATATTAGACGTTTTGAGAAGAACCTCAGTATCGCTTTTATTCTTATGCAAGATAAACGTACCGTCCATGTATCCAGAGAAGAACGACAGATTGTTGATTATATTTTTAAGTGGACAATGCTCCCAAATTTTCAGAAGAACATACCGGCCCAGGGAGGACCCAGATGGCGGCCTGTTGCTACGTCCTCCACTTGAAGATATCGTTGTTAGACTGAAACTACACATTCATCGTCCAGTGAAGTAGCAGTATCTGCTCGGCTTTATGTGATATAACCACTTCTATATAATTTTCTGTCGAATATATCCAGATGAAGTCAATGGTTTCTAATAAGGGAACGTCAGTGGACAGAGGAGTGACGTCCATACAGTTCACTGTTTTATCGTTGATCTTCGTATCTCTCACTTTTTCTGTAAATTCGAAGTTGGCCTTCAAGCTGTACTTGACCAATTTTAGTTGCACTGATTTACGTATATCTGCCAACCATCTAGTTATTTCATGATATACTGAGTTAAACATATCAAATATTGGTTTCATTGACACGTTGGGTTAGTAGGTGAAGTCTAGTCGGCTGAATACGTAAACTTTCACTAATCTATCTGTTTTCGACATAGAAATTTGCACCGATGTGCATCAGTTCAAGTCGCCACACTCCATGTACCACACAAAGCAAGAGAAGAAAGTAGAAGGAATCCATAATAGAGACAGTAAACAGAGTTGCGAGACAAAGGAATAGTAATAACGGAGAACAATATAGTTTCATTGGAAATCATAACTCACAGGGGTTGGATGCATCTCGCCATTGAGAACGAGGATTTTGAGCCATATCACCAATTGTTTCCAACCATTGGTTATTACTGTGCCAAGTTCCCCAACCAGATAGTCAGGAAGTCTACACACCTTCCTACGTGGCTGGCTTAAAATAACTGTTGTGGATTTCATTGACTGGTGAGGCCATATTTTGGTTTGATCGCGGCTAGCTCTTTTCTAGCCTGACCCTATGTAAGCTAACATTGCCTGTAGGGGAAGGCGATGACTAGGCATAAGTAACACATATCCTAACCATCTCAGTCAATGTAATTTCACAGCCTCGTCGATTGATTTCCCCTCCCACCTACCTAGCACTCGACGCCTAACCTCAATATTGCTCACCTTATTATACCACCACCTAACACGGGAGATAGAACGCAGGCACCTATGATCAAAGACAGCTAATCTCAATGGCCAGGTCTCACAGCCAGCCATAAAGGAGGATGGAGTGGACTGTTGAGCAGTACACTTGCCCTTTGTTCCATAGCCGGATATCAAGTCTACGCCAGAGACGGCGTAAGCTGGCATGTGCGAAACTAGCCCTCTGTATCTGTACTGAGATTTCTTCAGAGATCAACCCCTTTGGCGTTGCCTGATGGTAGTTCCCAAATAAGTGAAGCGGTCAACGTGCTCTACCATTTCACTTCCTATTTCTAAACTAGGAGTCAGTCAGTGTAGTCCAGTATTGTAACATCATCTTGCATTTGGCGGGAGCTAATCGCATGCCAAACATTCGTAGATTGCAGCTCAAGTGTTCAGAAAACTCTGCTTTATTTTGTCAGCGTCCTCGACTACAAGGACTATATCGTCTGCATATTCTAAATCAACGAGATTATTCCCTGGTAACCAGTCAATCCCTGTGTTCCGAAGTGAGTTTGGGTTAAATCCATCAGCAGGTCTATGATGAAATTGAATAGAAATGGGGATAATGCGCATCACTGACGGACACCACTAGTCGTTACTACTTCAGATGACAACTCGCTGTAGGCCGTCACCTGACTGCATGAGTTCGAGTAGAGGGCCTTGATCAGGGTAATGTATTTTCTTGGCATTTCCTTTACAGCCAAGCATCGCCAGAGTACCTCTCGCTCAATAATGGCTTCCAAAGGATATAATGTGTTTTATATCTCCCGGTAAAGAAACGAATTTATCATTCATCCGCTTACCTGCCAGGCATAATTTTTAATGTTATTCACTTTCAAGTATAATATGGACTTTATGAACTCGAAGTAAGATTGAAGCAGAAGAAATGAGATCCAATCAGAACGGAACATGTTATCAGCCGATTCATAAAGTTTTCCACCATAAATCTGAGCGTTTGTAGGGCAGTAAATGATTTCCAGCTAACATATTCAAGTTTGTAAACTTCAGCTGATAAGGCTAGGATAAAAGCGTATAATATCCTCACAGTTTGATTTGAGGTACTTGGAACAGGAGAAATATTTGAAAACCAAGACGATTCTGTGAAAGTGTAGTAAATGTGTATATTTCTGGATATAATCAGTTTGCATGAAATGCACTGGACTGAACACACGGCATTAGTCCCTACCTAGTGTTCAGAAAAAGTATCCGTTACAGTCCTGCAGAATGACAATTGCGAGTGCAAATATCTAAGTGGCGACGTTGTTTCTGCATGCAGCGCTGGTTTACTCTAGTAAGAGTCTCGTAAAAAGGGAGACATGACTTCTTTGAAGATTGCAGGTACACTTTGCTGATGCGTGTCACCAAAAACAACATTCTGGAATAACTCAACCCAACACTTACACTTACGATTCGTTAACTC